TATGTGTTATAAAACATACAATAAAAATAAGGACTTATAGAAGACTTGAAAATAATTAAATAAACAATCATATTAAAGTATTAATTTAAAAATATTTAAAAGCAATTGTGATAATGATGATGATTAAAAAATCCACAACAACCAATTAACATCCAAAGGTCTCAAAAGAAAGATCTTTGGTTGCCTATTGAAGGAGAGCAGACAGGGGACCAAGCAAGCCTCCTATGGGAGGGAATTCCATAGTCTGGGGGCAACTACCAAGAAGACTCCCTCCTGTGTCCTTACCAAATGTCCCTATGATGATGGTGAGATCAAAAGAAAGTCCTCCCTCAAGGATCTTAAAATTCAAGCAGAGTCATATAAAGAGATATGGTTTTTCAGATAGTCTGGATGTTTTTTTTAATGGCCTGGCAGTGTATATACTTTAACCTAGAGGCCTCTACAAAACCCTTGAAAGGCCTCCTTGAATGAGAGACCTTACAGGTGAAAAGCCAACATGACATAGTGGTTTGAATGTTGGTCTAAGACTCTGAGAGACCAGGGTTTGAATGCCTACTCATCCATGTAAACCCATTGGGTGACCCTGGACAACTCACACCATCTCAGCTTTACAAGAATCCAATTACAAACATCCTCTGAATAAATCTTGCCAAGAAAAACTTTGCTGTATGTCAAAGTCATCTTGAAGGCACAATAACAACAGCAGCAGCAATAAAAATAAGAAGATGAAAGGTTCTGGATGAGCAGAAATCCCAAGGAATTGAAATAAGATGAATATAGCAACAAAATGTGTGGAGAAAGACATGAGTTGAATTTAAATAATAATAATAATAATAATAATAATAATAATAATAATAATAATAATAATAATAATAAGTTTTATTTATAACCCGCCCCTCTGCTCGGCAATCGGGGCGTACAACAAATTAAAATACAATAGATAAAACAGTTCCTGCCACCCACCTCCCACCCACCCACCCCTTAAAACAAACATTAAACCATTAAAGAGTTAAAAGTACAGCCGAGATAGAATGCAAGCATTAAATCTATCCAACCAGCAGGCTAGCTGGAGAGTAAAATAGAGGATCACCTACAAGAAGTTTCCAAATAACAACAACATCAACGTCAAGCCTTCACCGAGCCGGGCAGTTATTCCGGGAAGGCCTGCCAGAAGAGATCCATCTTAACAGCCTTTTTAAAGGCATTAAGAGTGGTAATAAGACGGATCTCGTCCGGCAGGCCGTTCCATAACC